TTTACTAAAGTTTACAGTGTTAGGCTATGTTTAGTTGTTGTAGATGAAAGTTTACTAAAGTTTACAGTGTTAGGCTATGTTTAGTTGTTGTAGATGAAAGTTTACTAAAGTTTACAGTGTTAGGCTATATTTAGTTGTTGTAGATGAAAGTTTACAGTGTTAGGCTATGTTTAGTTGTAGCAGATGAAAGTTTACTAAAGTGTACAGTGTTAGGTTATGTTTAGTTGTTGTAGATAAAAGTTTACTAAAGTGTACAGTGTTAGGCTATGTTTAGTTGTTGTAGATAAAAGTTTACTAAAGTGTACAGTGTTAGGCTATGTTTAGTTGTTGTAGATGAAAGCTTACTAAAGTGTACAGTGTTAGGCTATATTTAGTTGTTGTAGATGAAAGTTTACTAAAGTTTACAGTGTTAGGCTATGTTTAGTTGTTGTAGATGAAAGTTTACTAAAGTGTACAGTGTTAGGCTATGTTTAGTTGTTGTAGATGAAAGATTACTAAAGTGTACAGTGTTAGGCTATGTTTAGTTGTTGTAGATGAAAGTTTACTAATGTGTACAGTGTTAGGCTATATTTAGTTGTTGTAGATGAAAGTTTACTAAAGTGTACAGTGTTAGGCTATGTTTAGTTGTTGTAGATGAAAGATTACTAAAGTGTACAGTGTTAGGTTATGTTTAGTTGTTGTAGGTGAAAGTTTACTAAAGTGTACAGTGTTAGGTTCTGTTTAGTTCTAGCAGATGAAAGTTTACTAAAGTGTACAGTGTTAGGCTATGTTTAGTTGTTGTAGATGAAAGTTTACAGTGTTAGGCTATGTTTAGTTGTAGCAGATGAAAGTTTACTAAAGTTTACAGTGTTAGGCTATATTTAGTTGTAGCAGATGAAAGTTTACAGTGTTAAGCTATGTTTAGTTGTTGTAGATGAAAGATTGCTAAAGTTTACAGTGTTAGGCTATGTTTAGATGTTGTAGATGAAAGTTTACTAAAGTGTACAGTGTTAGGCTATGTTTAGTTGTTGTAGATGAAAGTTTACTAAAGTTTACAGTGTTAGGTTCTGTTTAGTTGTTGCAGACAAAAGTTTGTTAGCTTAAATATATTTAGTTGTCACGGGAAAATTTATCAAACTGTGTATATATATAAGTAAATAAGATTTAACATAAAGCAAGATGCAAAGAAAAGGATACTTTTTCTAGATATTCATAATGTGGTATTATATAACTTTTATCATTATTTTTAATTTTTCACAATACTACTTTCTAGAAATCTTAAGTTATTGTAGTTGGCACATTTTAAAGCCACTGATGATGAGAAGAGATCATCAATCGAGCCTTAATTTCAACATTTTTGTAAAGAAAACATTTAGTTTGTTTTACATAAAAATTCTGTATCAATTTATGTCTGAATATTGTATGATAGCTTAGTTTAGTTACACCACTAGAATACAAATTTGTTTTTTGAACATGTACTGGATACTTTTGAAACATTTACAGCTGATAATTGGTCTTACTTTGTGTTTAGTATGAGTAATTTAAAGAGATTCCAAACTTTCATTTTACTATTTTGTAGGTCCTTGATGTCATTGATTGGTTCTGGTAAAAAATCAACCCTCAAGCCTTCTGCTCCCAAGAAAGAGAGTGAGTGATTTATGTAAATTCACTGTGAAAAGGTTCACACTCATAAGTTAACACAGCTTGTGATTCTAGGACACAACTAAGTTGTTAATACAGCTTGTGTGAAAAGATTCACACTTGTAAGTTGTTAATACAGCTTGTGTGAAAAGATTCACACTTATAACTCGTTAATACAGCTTGTGTGAAAAAGATTCACACTTGTAACTCGTTAATACAGCTTGTGTGAAAAGATTCACACATGTAACTCGTTAATACAGCTTGTGTGAAAAGATTCACACATGTAACTCATCAACACAGCTTGTGTGAAAAAGATTCACACTTATAAGTTGTTAACACAGCTTGAGATTCTAAGGCAGAACTAAAACATTATTTAATAGTTTATAGTGGTAGTGTCAAAAAATCAAGGGCTTTCAGAAGAATGATGTTATTTTATTTAACATACTTGTTTGTTTACACATGTAAAGAACTTGCTTTTTAAACTACGATTGGGGAATTTCTTCTATTGTGTGGCTGCAGAATTGGGTGTTTTTAGGCAAGTACTCTTAAGCAAGGCCCTGCATGGTCAGGTGGTTATAGTGCTTAACTCACAATCTGAGGGTCACGGGTTTGAATCCCCTTCCCGCCAAACATGCTCGCCCTTTCAGCCATGGGGGCATTATAATGTGACTGTCAATCCCACTATTCATTGGTAAAAGAGTGGTCCAAGAGTTGGTGATGGATGGTGGTGACTAGCTGCCTTCCCTCTGGTCTTTCGCTGCTAAATTAGGGACAGCTAGTGCGGATAAACCTCGTGTAGCTTTGTGCGAAATTCAAAAACCAACAAACCTCTTAAGCACTTTAACTGTATCATAGGTTATAAGTTACTTGTCTGTTTCAATTTATTTTATTCCATGATTTACACAACAGAGTTGTATCAAAGTTTGATAGCTGTGGTGATGTAAAGGTTTGAGATATGTGTGAAACTTTGCTTTCTATAAAGATTGTGGTGGCTTAAAAATATTTGCATGTTGTTGTTTTTCAGAAGTGAATCCACAACAGAATGCTATGTTGGAGATGATTGAATGCATCAAGAAAGGGAACATACAGCTAAAACCCACACAGAAGGTACTTGTTGTTTTATTTGATTTTCTGCTGGATTTGACCTAGTGGTTAGCATGGCAGACTGTGGCTAGGAAGCTTCAAGGTTTGAGCTGCGAAGTTCTGCTGAACGTGCTTCACACTTTCTTCTGTGACAGTTAATTTCACTATTTATTTAAGAGTAACTGTACAGTTGGTGGGTACATCTAACTAGTGTCCTTCCTCTGATTAGTAGCTGTAAATTATGGAATAGATGACTGTGTCTAAACCTAAGGGAGCCAAGATCTGTCATTTTGTCCACGTGTACACAAAAAGTACCATTATGATGTAAAATACTAAATATTTATTTGATTTTGTGTATTGAAATCCTTTTTTGTTCTTTGACCTTCTATCGTTGCGGTAAATACAAATGATTTGATTTCAATGGGATGTTTGTGTATTTAAACTTTTAAGGGTATCGTGCATTTTTAAAATCCATAGCCATGATGCTAAGACTTTTTTGTGTGTAAAAGTACCAAGAGATAGTTTTGAAGAATTTTTTTTTTCTTTGTATTGGTAACGGTGTTGCACATTAGTTGGGAACATTCATTTACTATAACATAGATTACATTTACCTATAATATAGCTGAAGAGAAAGAGTGAGCTTTCTATTAAACTGGATTAAAAGGATCGGCTAGTGATATAACTTTTACCAGTGTTTATAAGCAGCTATTTTATACACAGTTTTTAACTCTGCATTCTCAAAGTGAAACCAGATCATTCACTGTAATCCTACACCTAGAGTTCACCTGAAGTCAGACTAAGCAAGTAGAATATTTTTCTAATTTATTTTCTAATCAAAATAAACAATCTTATATTAATGAACAAAATTACTTTGTTCAAGTGATTGTTTTCAGTACACAGTTTTTGATTTAAAATTGTTTACTTTTCTTTTTGTTAAAAGCCTACATATAAAATTGATAACTTCTGATAGTTTCACCACTTCACCAATAGATCACTTTAATTTGCATATGTAATTTCTGATTGAACAGTTAACACCAAATTTTAAATAAAGAAGAAAGTTCTAAAAAATGAAACATTGTTTTTGACTTAATTATTTTGTGGTAGAAATAGCTTGTGCAATGTTAAATGATGTTATCCAGAAACAAGTTTATAAAGTTTAATACAATATCTGTATTGAAAAGCATACACTTATACAGGGGAAATACTAGTCCCCTTGGGAACCTAAGCAGGAATATTTTTGAATCCCTTACCAACCCCCTGGAAAAAAATACTAACTGGAATATTTCCACAAACCCAAAATACGCATACTAACATACATGTTAAAAAGTTCTTTCTACTCCCAAATTGACATCACTGCATCAGTATCTATCTCAAATCATACTGCACCTAGTAACCATTGATGGTATATTTACCTGATTGAGATATGGCTTGCTGCTACAATTTTAAAACCTTCTCCTGTTGCTGAGTAATGATTTTTTTTATTTCTTTCACTCAAACTACACTTTTTTTTTTATTGAATGAGTACAATATTAAAATATGCAAAAGTCAAAGTTCTGATTTAAAAAAAAATTACCATGAATTGAAAGTGGGCTTTTAGGCTGCTGCTTGAGGCCTAAGCTTGCTTTGTCTGCTTATCCCCTAATACCATCATTGTATGTATGTGTGTGTATATATATATATATATATATATATTGTAATATTATGTAGAAAATGAAAGCAAAGAAGACAATTGAAACCAAAACAGACATGGACCACCTGGGCACGCACCATAAAGTGGGTAGTTATGCAATGTGCCCTGGTTTATGAGGTACTGGTGGAAGTAAGACCCATCCTGCATTGGGGTTACACCATCTATCCAGTTTAACCTCAGTTTTGCAGGCCTCACATTCATAATAATAATAATAAATATATAAAGAACAGATGTGGGTGCTCTAGCCTACAATGTTCCACATCTTTACCACCTTTTGCTGACTGCAGCCAGATGTGGGTGCTCTAGCCTACAACGTTCCACATCTTTACCACCTTTTGCTGACTGCAGCCAGATGTGGGTGCTCTAGCCTACAACGTCCCACATCTTTACCACCTTTTGCTGACTGCAGCCAGACGTGGGTGCTCTAGCCTACAACGTTCCACATCTTTACCACCTTTTGCTGACTGCAGCCAGATGTGGGTGCTCTAGCCTACAACGTTCCACATCTTTACCACCTTTTGCTGACTGCAGCCAGACGTGGGTGCTCTAGCCTACAACATCCCACATCTTTACCACCTTTTGCTGACTGCAGCCAGATGTGGGAGGGTGGCTGTTCCAAAAAATAAAAAATGAATTTAGGAAAAAGAAATAATTGGAATACATACATCAATGGGGGAGACAGTAAAACTGTTCTTGAAGTTAGGATTCCAACCCCCATAATGATGTTTGGTCGTAAATACCATGATGTTAAGGTATCACTATACAAGCCCAATCTAAATTGTCAGTATAGCTCCCATCCTCCGCCCATCCATGCTACTGTCAAGATCTTCAAATGTTCTATAAGAATTACATAGTAGCAGATCTTATATAGGGAAAATTATACATCTACATTAATAAACCTATACAAGATACTGTCCAAATA